TCATTTGCAGGCAGAAGCAGGGGAAAGCAAGCAACACTCTGCATTTAGAGTAATCTAAGAAAAATGCTGACCTGCCACGGCCAGACAAGATTGCTTTTTCATGGCTCTGGATTCCAGACTGTGCCAATTCGATGCTCAGAGCCTGAAGGATCACTGAGGCTTGGCACAGCTCAGTGCAGCCACTGCAGCAAGCGGAGATGCTCGCCCAGCAGCAACAGCCAAACACAGCATCCCCAGGTGCCAAAAGCCACGAGTTTTGTCTCCTGCACCTGCAGAGGGGCAGGAGCAGACCCCAGTTTCACAGGTGTGGTAATGGCAGCAGAAGGCACTTGACCCCAAAAAAAATAATGTGGAGGAAGAACAAGGAAAAAAAATCTCCCTATAGTTGAACCAGGAACTCCAACACCCACTTTGTTTAAGGGGAAGATATTTGAAGGAGCAGCAACAACCCACAGGAGGAAGAACCACAGTGGTGTATATCCCACATCTTGTGCAGATGGCTGCCAAATTGGTGGGAAGGTGACACATCCCAGGCAGCACAACAACTTTAAAATAATAATTAATGAATTATTACTGACAATTGGAAAAAAAATCCCAGTGGCTTGTACAAATGAACGTTGGCTTCTGGAGTTTCTAGCGATAATAAATATTTAAATACCTCCCTTGTTTTAACATAAAGCAGAAGAGAAATGCAGCAGTCGCAGTGGGAGCGGCGAAGTGTCAGCACAGCAGTGTGGAGTGTTGGATCAAAACACAGCAGAAACTCGCATCCCATCTGCAGGGAGAGGGGAGGGGCCACCCCAGCCCCGGAGTGGCACTGCCAGGGCATCACCATCACTCCCAGCGCATTCCTGTGAACAACCATCCTGAATACAACCTGTCTCTGTGCTCAGCACACCAGGCCAGGAAGCTGACAAACTGGGTTGCTGGTTCTTTTCAGTAGAGCCAGAGACAGAAGCTGCAGCCCTCACAGTGCAAGTGCCCGGAGAGCATCTCTTCTGCCTGCTCCTTGGGGCACAGTTTGGCATCTCTGGGAAGCATTTTGGCTGGCAGTGCCACAGCCATCTGCTTTCCTTGCCCAGCTTCTCCTTGCCATCATACAAGTGCTAAGGATATTCCCACCCAAAAATCCCTGAGCCACCCCAGCTGCTTCCAGCCTTGCTGGTAGAGAACTTGCTGGTAGAGACTGAGTCTCCCCACACAGTGCTGCAGAATTAACACCCTTCTCACTCCCTCCTTTACTCCTAGCAAAGCAGGTGGCAACATCTGCAGCTTGCATCACCTGAAGTGCCTATTACAAGGTCCCATTTTTGGTGGTTCATAGCTTTACTCAGACCTTTAATCCTAGAGGCTGAAACCTTTCAGGCAAGACATCTGCCTCCAGCTCAGTGCCTGCCTTGAGCTAGGTGTGCTTTCAAATTCCTCGCAAAACCAACTCAGCTGTTTCCAAGAAAATAATTAAAGAAAAAAATGGCTAAGACCTGTCTTTCTTTAACTTCTTTTCCAGAACCCTGGCTGTGGCCAGAGAAAGTTTAGGACATGCCAGTGATGGATCAAGCACATGTCTTATTCTCTGCCCCTCAGAAATCCCCCTAGATTTTCTCAGCACCAGCATTTTAGGGCACATGTAACCTACACATCCACTGCTATCATTGCAATCTGCATCAGCTTCCTGACCTTGCCATGCTGGGGACGTAAATGTCCAACACTGACTGCTTGAGGCTGGTATCTGCCACCATTTCCCTGTGGAACCCAGTGGCACAAGCAGGAGGGCAGCAGCCCACACACTTGATGGGGCACCACTCCACACTCCAAGCACCTACCTTGCAGGTGCTCCAGCCTGCAGGAGCTCAAGCCTCTGTGCAGCTGCAGCCACATCACCTTCCCAGGACACAAAGCACAGAGCTGGGGACTGCTGGTAGGAGCCACAGCATCTGCCATATCTGCCTTCCTCCAGGGAAGAAAGGAGTTAAAAGGAAGGAAATCAGGGGAAAGGGGAACAAAGAATGAGAAAGAAAGAGTGAGCAAATGAGCTTTTTCCTCTGGCTTGTTGGGGAGATGCAGTTTTTTCTGGCTGCTGCAATTCTAGCTTATGTTATTGAAGTAAGATGTGCTGGGTCACAACAGGAAAAGGAAAATCATCAGCTAATAATCCTGCTTGTGCTTCAGCTCTGTGGTGAGACTGCCTCAGGATCATCCCCATCTTCTAAAAGTCACTCTTTTCAGCAAAACTAGGAAAGACAAGAACTAGAGCAGTGGTCCCCAAAGATCCCTGTCTAGGACAGCTGTGCCACTGGCAGGGTCACTGTACACCGAGGCTGGGTCCTGTCCAGTCCAGCTGCGCCATTCAGTGACACTTGATCTCACTGCTTGTATTCAAGGCCTGAAAGCTGACAAAACATGAGCCCTCCTTCTGCTCTTAAATTCCCATTTGCTCTTTGATGAGATTAAGATTACCTGTGTGACTGGGCCACCAGAGGAATGAAAAATACAATTTTTTTGTATAATGTTTGTGACACACTTCAGATGAGCATATGGAAAGGATGACAATTTCTTTGCATAGAGGACTACATGTAGCTGTGTACAGACATCAGGCCAATTTTAGCTTTGCTGCCTCTCTCTGCACAAAGTGCCATTCCACCCCAATGGCCTCCTTGCAGAGACCACGTAAAGGGTTATCAGTTACTGCCAGCTTCCTCATCTACTGAGACGTCTTAAACAGCTACGACATGAGAACTCATGTTCCTTCTGTGTACTACACGTAGCATTGCCAAGCTGTTTGAGTTTGAACTAACCACCGAAAAAAGAAAATACTCCACCACCTGCAGAGTCATTTCTGACCAGACATTTGCCAGGCGCAGCAGGTCAGGGAGCACCAGACCCCAGGAGCGTGAGAAGACGCTGGCCCTGGCCCCGTGTGTGCTGAGGGGTCGCCTGCCCGCGCGTGCTCCAGCTGTGCCTGCGCCGACACGCAGCCTGCAATGAGCATCACCCGGCCACGGCCAGCCAGCCACACTGCAGGCAAATGCTCTGCTTAATTGGTCTCAGCTGGAGGCTGCCCTGTGCATGTCAGCGTGTTTAAGAAAGCAGGTCTACAGGAGAGAAGACACCAGAGTAACCAATTAAAGAAAAAAAAAAAACCGATTTCCCTTCCCCCTCTTTCCCAGCCCTAAGCCCTGGAAGTTTGTTTTATTTTTAAGGAGTGTTTCTCACTGTTAATGAAATCAGCTTGAGAATAAGGTTTTGTTGTTGGTATTTCCAAGTCTAGTACTGACAGCATTTGTGGAGATAGTTACAGAGACCTGGTTAAATCAAGTCAAGGTTTGCACCTTTATTTCTTCTTTTTTGTTTTGTGTGGTTTTGGGTTTTTTTCTTAAAAAAGAGGAAAGAAGTGACACCAGGAAACGCTTCATCCAGTTCAAATCCAAGTTTATTAGCCTGTAAAAGTCTGTTTCCACACAGTAATCATAATAAATGAATGAATGTTTATGGAGCGTAGCATAAAAATATATGGAGTCAGCCATAGGTTGGAGTTTATGATTGCTCACAAAAATTAATCAGCAGATCACATGGCATTGCATCAGAAAGGCAAATCAGTCCTAGGAATGCAAACAATCAGGATAAAAAGGCAAAACAAGTAAGAGCAGAGTATCAGAAAGCAATAATTAGTTCACAGTTCTTAATGTGGGTGACAGATTTTGTTAGATCAGGTTATTTACTCACTAATTCTCCAAAAAAAGGTTGAAAATCAGTTGTAATAATTTTGCATTAATCTCAGTCAACATATCAGCTGCTCAAATTCACTGTCAGTCTCTAGGTATGACCATTAAAATGTAGGCATGTAAGAGACTAGGAAATCTGAATAGCCCAGGTCCTTCTCCTACAGCCTGGTGGCCACCAACACTCACTATAAATCAAAACCTAATGTGAGACAAGTGGGTTGAGATGTTCTAGTCCCTGCCTGGACACTTAAAAACCTTCTCTCTTCTTAAAAACCTTCAGCATGCTACAGGCTGCTCAGTTCTGGGGAAGTTCACTTCTCTGCTGGGCATAGCAAGCCTGTCCCCCTGCATGGGGAGGGTGTTGGACACCTGGCAGAAACTTGTGTGTGTCACACGTACCAGGGAGAGGGCAGTGGGAACATCCCCCATGGCTCCTGTCCACTTTAGTGCTGATGTAGGACTGTGACCAAGCTGATGCCCGGACTCTGCTCACAAGCTACATCCAATGCAGAGAAACCCCTGTTAGGAGACTTGAGTAAGCACCAGGAGTTTCTGACCTAGACTAACTCTTCTGTTTCCCAAAGGAAAATGTCTAGCCAAAAAGAGATGTATTTCTTCTAATGCTTTGGGCTTTTCTGAAGAAGTGCAGAGGGTTAGTCTTATTAACTCCATAAAGAGAGCAGACTTAAAGGAGCAAGGGAAGAAAGGTGGTTTCTTCTCAAATGTAGGATGCTTATACACATCATAAACCAAGCTGGGGAGAACTGCACTGAATAATAAATCCAGGCTCTGGCTGACATCATGAAACCTGCAGAACCTTCTACCAGAATTCTGAATTATTTTCTATCCAAGATCCTTGACTCTGCAAGTCAAGGCCCTATAAGGCCAATCAACCCACTGTCACAGCATCTTCTGTTACAGGGAAGTCATATTACACTAAGAAGCACCTTCAGAGTTGGTTGGGAAATTAACCCATTAAGGCCGGCTTCTAAAACTTGTTTTTCAGGAATGGGGGGTAGCATGACAAGTTCTTCCTGATTATTACACTACTAATAACGTGACAATCCTTTAATATCATCTGAGAACTTAGAAGAGCAGTCAAAAACTTCCAGAACATCACAGCTTCTTTAGGCAATCTAGATCCTTTTTCTTGCAAGAATAACATTTTGCCATCTGAGTTTCCTTTATTCTGCCTGAGTCAAAAACTTCCAGAACATCACAGCTTCTTTAGGCAATCTAGATCCTTTTCTTGCAAGAATAACATTTTGCCATCCTTGGGCAAAACAGCTCTGCTGAAGCACCCAGCAACCCAGCTGAGTGTATCCACCCTAAAAACCAGCTGGCAAACCAAGACAAACCTACAGGGGGAGCAGATCCTGCAGCACTTCATCTTTCTTTCCTCAGATAGATACAGCGGTTTCAAAGATCATTGTATGTTCTGTAGTTATTACAGAGAAGAAGAATAATTTCTTTCCTTTATAGATTTTGGGGCCATTTATCCATGCTCAGTGCACACTGGTAACTGAGTAGATCCTTACAGTGAAGCAAGATCAAACTTATAACCAAGCCACCTATATAATATCCTCCAATTCCACAAGCTATCTGGTAAAGCCCATGGGAACATGGGGAGGACTGGAGCCTCCCAGAAGGCACACTGCCCTGTATCACTAGACTGTTCATAATTTCAGACTTGTTCCTTGGAAATATATAAGAGAGCATTGACATGGCTAGTGGCAAAACCAAATTGAGCCCAACACAGCCTAGAAGAATTGAGTTTCCAAACAAAAGGGTATTTTCCGTTCTTTAATAGGCTCAGTAATAAGTTTGTCAGTTTTGGATTTGAAGAATTACCTGCTTCTTGACTGGGTTTTTACTTTTAGTTGCTTGGTTTTGTTGTTTTGGGTTTTTTTTTTAATTAAAAAATAAAAGCTATAAAAAAACTAGAGGTAGTTTTAAACTGCAAGGTTCATGTCTGGGCGAGTATTTCTTCAGAGCTGAGGGACGTTTTTCATTCAGACCAGTATAAAACAATACTTGAGGGGAAAAAATGTTGAAAGAGAAAGCATTAAAAGAATAGGAACTCGGAGACCTCTTCCTGCTTCCAAATCGACCGTCTCATGAAATGAGTGTATTTCCTCCCTGTGAATTCTATATTTAATCCAGAGAGATCACTGAGTATGCCTGAGCAACCTGGCAGCCCTTTTCCTCCTCTTCAAACAGACCTCAAGATTCACTCTTGTCTAATGAGCGGTCTACGTCTCCCAAGAACATATATCCTTATGGATTTCGATGAGAGCAGACAGGATCAGTGGAAAATCCACTTCTGTTCCTTTTTCTTTTGTTGCTTTCTTGAAAAAAACAAAAGGATACACCAAGGCTCCCCCTGGAAAATCAGCTGGCATTGAAAGCATCTCACAGACTAAAGGACCTACCTCATTTTTCAAACTAGTTCAAAATTCTGCTTTGGCACCTAAGAGCAGACTTTCTGTTGATTAAAGGAATATTCGCAGAAAAATGACGTTCCAAATTTCACCACAATCAGATTATGTGCCTGTCACAAGCCTTCCCACCTATCTCAAGTCGCTTCAATACCAGCAAGTAGTGTGGGGAAACAAAATGTCAAGAGAAAAACATTTCCTTAGCAATGTATAGGTTTTGAGACAGGTAGAGAGCTGAACTTTGAACTGAGAAGCAGTAAAACAGAAATGAAGATAATGTTGTCATTCTCTCACAAAACATATTTGTAATTCCAAGTACTCCAACAGCAACGGGATGATCTATCCTCAGGACTACTGTTTGTTGCAAGAGCTAGAAATGAGATTTCACCTTTGCATGCTTCTCCATACAAAGCTAACTGCTAATTTATCACACCACCCTCGCTAGTCCACTCATTTGACACAACACAGGTCTGCATTAATGGGTTTAAGGCTTTCTATAATCAGTTTGCTCTTACTTCACTAAACTTTCATAGCCTCAAAATCTCAAAGTAACATTCCTAGTCGAAGAAAAGGCAGTATTTTTTTCTGCTACTTTAAAAAATCCAGAGTATGATGTTACCTTCAGTTATACAACTTATGGGGTTTCCATCAATTGCCAATTGAGAAGGAATAAGCTCTGTGGCTATTGTACCATCACTTCATAAGCATTCATTCCCACAGGCAAGACTCAGGTCAGCATTTGGACCTTCTCGCTCATTTTGAGGGTTCTTTTGTAAAAGAGGTTTTCTTTGTTTAAGATCCCACAAACAGGACCTGTTTATGGAAAAAGAGAGATATTTTGAATACTAAAGTCCTTTATTCAACAACACAGAAATATCACAAAAACAACTTTACTGGGCAAATTGAATGTTTTTATACAGTTTTGTACATGCCCCATAAGTGATTATTTTTTCATAAATACACTGTTTTCCAAAACTGTTTTTTTCCATAATTGCACAAGCATACATACACCTTACACAAATATCTATTAGAAAATTTAATAGATAACTGCACAGTTCAGAAATAGGAGAACACTGTGAAAGGAGTACATTTCTGTGGCCCATGTTTCTGAAAATACCCTCCTAGTTCCCTGCAATTGTGAAAATGGAGTACTTTCTAACATAGGAGCTGTCTTTTATTCACTAAGAATACAGTAGAGCTCAGCGTGAAACTGCCAAATTTAATAAAAACAAAATCTGAAACATTTAGCTGTTACATGAGAACCCACTGTTTGATATCACTATGCATCTAACCATGATCAAAGACCCACTACTGCTTTTTGCTGAATGCATTCGACCCTGAATGGTATGTTCATTTAACTACTTTCTTTCTTCATTATTTGATTACAGATATAGCCCGTTTAAAGACTTTACATTCTTCAACATTAATTGTAGGACTTACATACCAGGGGGTCTGTACAAAAGGGAGTATTTTCCCTCATAGGGAGGGTCTGTTATTAATTGACAGAATGGGTACGTGTGCCTCCCTTTCAAGCTTACTATTTTTCATAAGTTTATCTGGGGTATGCCAAAAATGCTTCCACTAGGCTTAGCGCTCACTCCTAGAAGACAGAAAGAGTTCTGCTTTTTTTTTTATTGCCCACACCCATTTTTTCTTTCACTGTGAGAATGAAGAACGGAGAAGAGTACAAATTTTCACATTGGAAAATGGTATTGGACCTTGTGAAAAGCACAGATTTGGTAATTAGAACTTGACAATAATCTGATTGACAAATATGTATATAAATGGGGAGGGGTGGGGAGGGCAGTGGGGAGAGACAGGCCAGAAAATGGATTTCCTTCTTCAAACATCACTAATTAAAATGCTCTATGCACACTACATCATATTAAATACTGTTTCAGCAGAATCTAAAAACCTGATGGTGCAAAGGAACAACAACTGAAATGAAAACCGTAAGGGTAAATCAAAGAAAAATCACCTCTCATTCATTTTCAATAATTAACAGGTATGCTTGTTTGTGTGTTTAACAATTTTGGATTGACATGTAAAACACCACAATTACAATATACAGATCCATCAGTTCTTTAAAACAAAACAACAAAACGAAAAAAGGAACCACAACAAGACATGCAACATTAGGGTATTAGACAGTAAGTACATTGCTATGAGTATCTTTGTACACCTAATGTAGCCTGAACTTAACTTTGCCTCTGCTTCTGTAAGAGCAGTGAGAGTTTTCCAAAGAGCAAGGCAAGCTTACCAGCCAGATGTGCAAATAAGGCTTCAGTTTGTAAGTCAATCAGCACTTTGGTAGAGAAGACCTTGCAGAGCTCATATTGGTCTAGTGATCAGTAACAGAGGCCCCTAAAAGTCTCCAACACAAAAAAATTCCACACACAGCTGCCCTACAAACAGACACAAAGCTCACTGAATTGGATGACTATTCAACTGAGGATCTCACAAACTGTAAGAGGGGCACCATGATAGAAGCATTTTAAGTGTGACATTCCACCTCTGAAAGCATGTATGTGACATCACACGACGCAAGGACACAGACACATGCACTGACCCTAAGCTGAGGATGCCCAGCCCAACTGTGCCCTCCAGTTACCCTGGCTCACCCATGCTCTGCCTGGTCCTGCTGACACACACATGTGGCTTCAGGAGGTTTCTCTGCCTCCTGACCATCCCTTGGTCTTCTCTTTCTGGGCTGTTCCCAGCACCTGCCAGCCCTCACTTGCCAAAGCTGGCATCTTCCCCACCTGCACAGGTCCCACACTGGAGCATTCCCAACCCATCCCTTGTGCTTTACCAAGTAAGTGTGACCGGGGGCCAAAGGCTGAAGTACTTAACAGAAACTGGAAGAAAGTGCTGAAACAGTAGGAGATTTACATGTGCTGTGCAACATTAACCTGTTATTTCCATGCCCAGCACCTTGTATAAAATGATAAATCTATCAAATACATGGCACAACAGCATTCACTTACTTTGGTGGCATGGCCTTTTCACTCATGAGTGGTATGACAAAGCCAAGCGATAAAAAGTGATGATCAACTGATAATAAGTATCCCTAAGTAAAGAATCCTCTGTATTTTTTTATGGCATGTCAGCTATATCCCTCTGTGTGCTGCCTTTCCATGAAGTAGACATTTCTTCCATACAGCTAGAACAGGAAGAACAGCAAAGCATTTTTGTTAGGGCTTAAGGGACCAGTCATTCAGCAAAGCTGAGATCAGTGGACCAAGAAACGTGTGGAGAGAAGTGGTCTTTTTTAAAAGCATTAAAAAAAATATTTTTTATACTGCAAAAATATCCAGGCTCTCAAATGAGCACAAGTGCAAGTGAGACCTAAACCAGTCCAACTGTCAAAACTCACTTAACTGTGAAGAGCTCCACCTGAACCAAAAATATGGCATTCCATTTCATAAAATATTTACTCCATTGACTGAATATGTTACATAAGATCTTGTAGGTGAAGGGTAATTAAACTGAGTCATCATTTTTCCTAAGGTCTCATACTCTGGTTTGTATACTAGAACAACCTTTATTTAAATGACTAGTTTTGCACATTTGCCTATGCTGGGCACAGTGAAAAATGAGTCAGACACCAAACAGCATTTTTGGAGAGATACCCCTCTGTAAAGCTCCTTTGGAAGCAATGCAAGTGCACAAACCACTATTCTAATATAGTGCTTGAAAGATTAATTTTAAGTGTTACGTCTTCTCCTCTCACAACACCACAACAGAAGGTAATTGCTAGATGCATCACAATCTTTTTATCTTGGAAAACTTGGCATCAAGTCTCTATGGAAGGATGCATGGTAAAACAGTGCTGCTGTTGCTGCTGCTGCTAAACAACTAGCAAAATAATAGTTAAAGCTAGAATTTATTGCTCCGGATTTAATTTGCAGAACCACACTGTTGTGTACAAACCGTTTATCTCCATTGATGCTCAGACATGATTGTCTCCTTGTGTCTAAACACACAAAATACAAGCGGCTATCTGTACAGTTTACAGTACTGAAACACATATATTTGAAAATGAAGTATAGATATGTTACTTTTCAAAGATACATGACTTTATAGCAGGGGTTTACCCAAACTTGTTTTTTTTTTTACAGCCACTTTAAAAATAGACAACAACTTCACTAGTATAGCTAAGTTACATCAAAGAAAGAATCGGTGTACTGAATGTGAAGAAGCTGGCCAATTCCCCAGGCTCACAGGTTTTTGTCTTTTGCTTTTGAGGAAACCCCTATACATAAATGAAAATAGTGTCTGAGTATATTCTTCAATGGTGGACTAAGCAGTTTCTTAAAACAAGACTTTAGCTTGCCATTCACTTCGGACTGCCTCGAAAATAAGATACACTACTGCTTAAAAGAACCATCGGAATGCTTCAGCGCTGGGAACAGGTGTTCTCTAAAAAAAAAGCAAGAAAACAAGTTAAGCTTTCTTTTGTGGCATTGGCATATTCGAGTTCTAGTTGTTCTTTTCCTTTACATTTTAGGCATACTTTCAGTTATCTAGGAACAACACGATGCGTCCCATTGCTTGGCAATTAATAGAAACATCCTTCTCCAAACACACTGTTTCAGGATCACACACAATACATTGTACTCAGTATGTAACACACCTAACACGCTGACTTCTCCTTAGTTTCTTAACAAGGTAGTCATGAAAATGCAAACATTGCTAGAAAAAATATCTGGAAAACAGACAGTGCTTTCAGAATAACCACACGGTTGTACAATGGCTCCTGCCCTGACCCGGCATGCTGGGCATGCAGTCATGGCTCGGAGGGTTTGTGGGTTAAACAGACACTTTGGCAAGACCGTGCTCAGACAGGGGAGGAGCAAAGGCCCTGCTCTGTCCCTCAGAAAGTGTGCTGTGTCTTCAGACACCTCAGAAGGAGAGGTTGGCATTTTCAAACCTCACCTTGTTCCACATTTAGGTTGCAATGTAGAAAGAACTGAAAACACATCCACGACTTCATTCCAGGAGGGAATCACTGTGCTGACTTAGGGGTGCTGCCCAGGAATGCTCCTGTCCTTTCTTTCACACACGTGCAGGACCTTGGCTTACACAGAAACAGTCCTGTGTAAACAGAGCTACTGCCCCCCTCCTTCCCCCACCTGCTGCACCCTAAAAATGATACCCACTTGCACCCAGGTGCCTCCATACACATTGAGTAGCAGCAAATTCCCTTCACAGCCTGAAAGTACAACCTACATGAGAGGCTGAAGGGACTGAGCCTGAGAAGGCTGTGTCATTTCTGTGAGGAACTTCTCGTCCTCAATTTCCTTCAGTCTAAAGCAGCCTTGAACCATGCATCTCCAGACCCTCCAGAATTAATGACTGCACTGTCCAGGGAGGGGAGAGTGAGCCCTAACATGACACCCTATCAGTCTGTCCCAGCTTACAAGTACTTGTTTTATTAAGAACTACCCACAAAACAGTAGTGTTATATCTGAAAAAAAAAAATCTACTAAAAGCAAAACTCCTGAAATTTGCAAATTAATATTTGTAACAAAGAAGTTCTCATGGATGTTGCTGGTGCCACATTTAAGTACATGTCTCTTTTTGAAAGAATTCTTTTTTGTTTTTTTGGGTTTTTTTTCAGGGAAAACCTTTTTAATGTTTTCCTAGTTTTTCCATAAAAATCCAACAGACCATGGATCCTGCAGTGCACAGGTGCATTGTACTTGGTGTCACAATATTAGTTTCTGAATTCCAGGGAACTGCTCATTAGTATGGCATGTATTTTTTGTTGAATAATTAGCCCAGTTTGTGATAAACAGGCTCAAGCAGTACACAGCTTCTCTTTTTGTAAAAGCCATATGAAAGGGGAGCTGTTATTGTTATGTTTATTGCTTCAGCACTTGGAAATACCAGAGATCAAAATAATTCTGCTGTATTATCAGAACTCTGACCTGTTGTCAATTCAATATCCACTCCCCCTCCACAAATGTTACACTTCAATAAATCATCCGAAAATTAACTTCCAAGGACAATGAGCTGGTGTGTTGAATACAAGCACCCTGACTAGTGCGAGTTCTCTTTGTGTTGGTGGTGCAAAAGTAGGAATTGCTCATATCCATCTTTACCAGTCCCTGCTCTCCGTTTACGTGAGGTGAGCACGAGCACAAGTAGTGACAGAGCACGGCAGCCCTCGCACCCAGGTACGTGAGGAGAGCAAATGCAATTTCCAGACCATCCACAGCGGTCTGTGTGGGCTGTAAGATGGCTGCTGAGAGCGAGGTTTACAGATTTATAATTTATAAAGAGCTTGGCTGCAGACGAGGCTGGAGTTCAGAATGGCAGGAAACAATCGTATGACTAAATTGACCTCAAAAGAACAGTCAAACATGCAAGCATATTAAACTCAATACATTGTCTTCACTTGAAAACTAAATGTAATATTCTGCTGTGGGTCCATCTGCCTGAACACAAAACCACAGCTAGACAGAGAGATTTAAAGACATAGTCACTGAGACGGCTTTTATTTATTTTCTTGCCACATCAGGTTGAGTTACTGTCAGACGTTGTCATATCAGCTGGAAGTAAAGGTGTAATGTCTGATTAAAAGGTCATTCAGACCTTTAAATACACAGAACAGTATTTTTGAAGGGCAAGGCTGTGGTTTAATATGTGTGCTTTTGAAAAACTGCAAGATAAGGAATTTTTGTATCTGTGTACCAAGTTCTAATTAAAGATATACATTTACAATTAAATATCCATTGCACTAACTACCAATTTGGGAATGAATTATTAATCCACCCTTAAACAAAAAAAAAAGAAATCTTTTAAAACTGAACAGCTAGATCAAGTTAAATCTTAACCAGTACATGCAATGAAATCCATAGATTTCACCACTCCAAGAATCAAGGTTATTTGCAGACAAAGAGAGACCCTTCAGCCCATTTAGAGGTTCAGCACAGCAGCACACAAGTTTAAGTGCAATGACCATCTACTGCTTGGCTGTATAAACCAGCACTCCCAGCTGGGGAATCAAGCTCTCGGCGAGATTACAGCGCATTTCTGGATCTCTGTGCTGCCGGTGGGGAATCGTTATCCTGAGTGACAGGAAAGACAGATCCCCCTGGAAGCCTAGGAGGGGTGGTGAGGAGCAGAGCCAGAGCTGATCAGCACGGTTTTGCTGTAAAAGCCTCCACTGCTCGTGCCAGTGCAAATGCTGACAAACGGCAGCCTTGCTCTCAGGAGGATGCTCAGAAACCTGCAGCCCTGGCTTCTCCAAGAGGGTAATGCCATAAAGCATGGTGCTGGAGGGGATTTATCCCTACATAAACCCAGGATGAAATGTCTTCCACACTTTCAAACTTTCTGTTCTGCTCTCTATGTGCCAGCTTTCACTGCAGAAGAAGTAGCTTGAATATCTGAAATCTGAAAATCTAATTATTGCCTAGAAAAATGAGTATCATATAGGGAACCACACATGCCACATTTTTGGAGAAGGAGGTAAAAACAGGCAATGGAAACCAACAGAAAATCTCCTCAATTAAGCAGAAAAATGATACCTCTGTATCTGTCCTGGACGCCCCATAGGGCTGTGTAAAAGCAGACCCTTGCTGTACACAACACATAAAAAGAGCATGCTGACAGGAGCTGCAAATTCCTCACCAAAGTCTGTTTCAACACTTGCATTTTCACAGCAACAGCACTCAGTAAAGAATGATGCCTCCCACTGCCCTCTGGGGTGACTGACTGAAGGAGGTATGGGATGCTGGGACAGAGGGATTTGCTCATCCAAGGCCCACCTGCTTGCCCAGCCCAGCTCTTGGTGAGCTCAAGCCTACCCCACCTGCCAGAGAATCCTCTCTCCTCAGCTCTCTGAGTCTCACACCCACCTGAAAGATGTGATACAGATACAAGGAATCAGGAAAATTGGCTGCACCTGCTTGGGATGCTGCTGCTGCTAGGGTGCAGGAAAAATTCAGAGCTGTCCAACCAAGACTCACTGTAAGTCAACTGTATTACTATTTTCTACAAGGCTAGGGAATCATTTGAGGTGAACTGCATTCAGAAATAAAATAGAATACTAAAATATATCAGAGCACTACATGATTATGACCTAATACTTTACCAATGTTAAAAGATATTGCATTATGTAAGAATCCTTTGATGTTTGATCCATGAGCAAAAATCCTGCTCTCATTGAAGTAAACTCATATGTTGGCTACAGCAAATTATGAGCCAGATGTGGCACTCCTCATTCCTCTTGAGGAGCCCTGGAAACAATCCAGCTCAACAGAGGCTCTTTGGGAAGTCTATAGGATCTGAACTATGTCCAACACAATCTTGGCTACCTGGTGGTCTTTACCGAGACCTATACAACCACAGAAATAAACAGCGCATCAGTGAATCTGAAATTCACATGGCAAATGGCATGAAACTGGTGGATTTCCCAAAGCAGCAGGACTGGTGCTAACAACACAGGGAAAACTGAGCTTACCAAGATCTGCAGATAACCCAACATGAGCTTCTCAAGTTGGAGAACAACTCCTCCTTGAAATGTCTTGCACAAGAGGAGCAGTTTGGCCCGCTAAGTTATAGACACATATATACATGTATATGTGTGTGTGTGTCTATGTATATCTCAATATATCTATATATACTGAGAAAGAGATATATGGTCAGATATAGAGAAATCTGGTGCTGTGTGGTGGCCAAAACAAGTCAGCTGGAAAGTCCTGACCCCTGCATGAAATGTAATTTGAATCAATCAGCAGCACAGCCCTGCAAATACTGACCATCACTGGCCATAAACCAGTGCCTGTATGCTTTCCTTACACTGTGTGAATGCACCTCATCAGTCTCACAGAGTCCACATCACTGCCAGCAGGAAAGCAAACTGGTCTTTACTTCATGTCACACCTTGTATTTCTAGTGCCACAAGCTAAAATTCAGGTATCCAACAGTCATCCTGGAAATGACATCAGCATGGCTCATACATAAACAGGGCAGACTCTGGTGCAAATTCAAAACTCACTTTCCATCCCCAATTTCCCTCTCTGGAAAGAATCATCCCCACACAATAGCTGGGCTCAGGGCACACGGTGGTACAGGCACAGCCTCATTGCTGGCATGGAGCTGTCTCACACTGTGATGGGCTAAAGCCCAGCAGAGGGATGCGGTCTCCTGACCGCCAGAGCACTGTAAGAGCACAGAATGATTTGGATGGAAGAGCCTGTATAGATTACCTCCAACTCACCTGCCATGGGCAGAGACACTACTCACTGCACCACGTTGCTCAGATCCCCATCCAGCTCAGCTTTGAACACTGCCAGGGATGAGGCATCCACAGCTTCCCTGGACAGCGTGTTCAAGTCCCTCACCACCCTCAGCATTTCTTCCTAATATGTAATCTAAACCTACTTGCTTTCAGTCTAAAGATTTCTCCT